AAGGGATTGATTGGTGCCTTTTAATAATCTCGCAGGTCACAAAAATAAGGAAATATAACCAAGAGCAACAGATATATGTTATGATAATTATGAATTAACTTGACATAAAACAATTGTCGAAAACATTGAGTCATTTTGTGAGGTGAAATAAATGTCAAAATATTTAACCCGTGAGAGTTTGGAAACTGAAAGTTAATTAGTGTATTAGAAAGAACATATATGAAACATCAATTATTATAAGATAATGACCACAGGTAAAAAGATATAAATTATTGTAAACTAAATAGACATAATAACGAGGTACCTAATAACCGAAGTTTCTTATATTTATTTATTCTTCATAGTAAGCTACAACCAATTAATGCAAATGAATGATAATCAGAAAACAGATTAAAATATGTTTCTACGGAATTCATTATTCTAAGTGAATGTTCATTTTGTTAACAAATTTAAAATCATGTTTAACTAAAAGCCTTTCAATAGGGTAATTTTACAGTAAAATATATTATTTGTTTATCATCCTGAAGATGACAAGACTTAGTTTATGGACGGTTTTGCGAACTTCTGTTTGTTTCGAGTTTATGTATGAACATCACTTAAAAGAAATGGTTCTTAGTTTGTCTAGGCAAAGGTTTTATTCGTCTAGTTCAAACTCCCAACAGAGTTCTGCCTCTAGTCTTATCTTACTCAACCTTGCACTCAATAAGCCAGTAATCATCTCATTTATCAGTTGGTCTAATTTCAGTAATCTACATATCCCTAACTAAATCTTCATTACCCGACTTCATCACAAATATCCAGTATCTTTTTGACAAGCTAGTGGAAACCAGTTAGTGTCTTTTATTTACTTTTTGATGTTAGAATACTCTTTCAAGCTTGTCGTCGTCTGTGTCGTCCAGTGTGAGTACATAAGCCACTTGGTTTGACTTATCCTAAGAAATTTGGCAGTTGTTTGGAGGTTAGTGTGCGTTGATTAAAAACGAATGCATTTTTTAGGGCAGTGGAGTCGCTAGAACCAGCAGCCATCAAGTTAATGCTCAACCGACTGGTTGTTTATAATATGGAACACTTTAGATTTAAATAGAAAGAGGGAAGGCAGAGGCTGTATACACAAATACATTTAATTTGTTGAACAAAAAAAATAAGTACGTAAATATATAAAAAGACATGTAAAGAGAAATCTAAAAAGATAAGATTATATAAAGGGTTACTAATGGTATTAATGAATAATGAATAGTGCAAGTATGCCGATAAGTGCAAATGGATATTTCCCTGTAAGTCAATATGGTTAATCAATGTTCCATGTAAATAACTGTTTAGCTTGAATAGGTACATGGTTATCGAGTTACTCCTTAAAATTGTCCACCTAGGGGGCTGCAGTCATATCGGCTGAGAAAGCGTTCAAAGTAGTGCCGAGAAAACATGTGACCTGACCTGATTGTTTGGTTTTACTTAAGAGCTGTTACGATGTTGCATACCATGATCAGGTCGCTAATTATTTTCCTATAACTTAGCGAGTAAAGTCTAAAGAGGTAAAGTCAATCTTCATGAACTTTCACCCTTATTCTCAAGAATAACATTGCTTCACACCAGTTTACTCAATTCAGGAGAATTATGCACCCTTTGAAATGGAAAAGTGCAAGAAACTTTTTGAATTTTGAGATGTGTGACTTGATGAATCAAAAAAGCTCAGAAGTCAGAATGGCTAGTTGCATTCAAAAGTAATAGAGAATAGCGTAGAATTTTTCTGGATCCTCCTCATATTTGCTGCTGGTTTCTAATATTTCTGTGAACAACAAATCGACATCACTACACGTCAGTGTTATAGGGAGGCAACTCTTAAAGAAGTAGAAGATCCGGTGCTCTTCTTTTGTTTGAAATAGCATATTCTAATGCTTCTGGAAGTTCGATGTCAAACTGTTGTTTCCGTCCACTGTTTCAGTAGTACTAGGTCTCTTTGTAGCTATTGTGAACTTCCTTTATATTTGTTAGCTTTTCATAGTTCAATAATTTCTGCTTCCATGAAAACATGAAATGAGGTTTTTCGAGGTCATTAATGAATGTGAGCAGGAATAGAGGTCCTACTATGTCTCTGTGCTCTACTTCAAGAACTGACGCCCTCTAGTTTAAGCGCAATTTACTCACCTCGGCATAGCGTCCTCATTCCTGTGGATAGTTCTCTAATGAGAAGAAAGGTGCACACGTGAACACCATCTATATTATACTAGCTACTAAGATATCAATTTCTGTGAAGAAGGTTTAAGACAAGGAATACAGTACATTAGGGAGATGATTAGTATTTCCTACCAAATGCTAAAATCATGGAATCTGAAGGGTATTGAAACAGATTGTTTAGTTGGTGCCAAAGGATATGTACTACATCTATACTCTTCGAAGTTTACAAAGAGATTGTTGTAGCCTCTTGTTTTAAATATCTGATCGAACCCTATATATAGTATTAGGAAAAACACCATAAATGAAAGACATTTAATATATCAGGGGGTTTAGATGTACCGAATTAAAGGTTAGAAGTTCGTAAACTTTTATTATTGGTGAGAAGCCTAAAGGTCACGTCAAACTACAGTAATGCGCAAAAAACCAAGGGTGGCATTCGTTTACTAATCGGTTTTTGTGACCTACTACACCAATTTTTGTTATTTGTTCTTATCATCTGTTCATTACTAAGATTAAACATCTTTTGTAAATGTTTTTGTGAGTATGTCTTTCTTTCTACTTACCCGTGTTTTATACTTTGTATAGTTTAATAATATTAAGATATTGACTAATTTGACATCTTGAGTAGGTTACTGCTGCCTTTCGTCTATCCGATTTCCATATTCGCTGCTCTCTACTTATTCATCTGGTATACAAATGCATGTGTGACATATTGAGTCTTAAGCATATTTCGTGTTTGACTTCCGTTTTCTACGTTTTATCAACATAATCAGTCGACAGAGTATATGAAAAGTTCAAATTAGGATATAAATATTATTATCCCTATTTCAATCATCGTCATCACTCATTGTAGTCAAATGATGATTATAAAAGTTTCATCAACATGTGAACAATTTACTTAGCGTTTATATTAGTTTAATATCTTTTACATAATTCATAATATTTCATAACTTACGTAGATTTTGATGGCGTTAATAATTACACTATTGTTTCTTGGGCCTACTGTTATGTAATATTTATTCTAAATTGTGTAACCGTGGGTTTAACTGATCCATAGACTAATTTAATGATGTATTACAGACAAGTCATTTAGACAATTACAAATACCAACGAATTGTTTTTTTCAACAATTTTAAACTTACAAAGTAATGTACTTTGTGAAATTCGTTACGTTTAAATATGATTATTTATTTGATTAATAATTGCGATAACTAGGAGGAATTTTCACGGAACAATGGGCAGACGAAAGTATGCTTGTCACTGTATTTATTTATAAAAATTAGTCACCAGTTAACTACAAAATGATTATTGAAAATATAGTGGAAAAATATTATGTACAATGATTCGGAAATTGTCACACCACACAAGGGATTAACAAATGGCAAACAGTAGCCTTGGAGATTCGGAATGAGAACAAATTGCTTATGTGCATACAAACGATGATTTGATTTTCTAACAATCAGTGCTTTCACAAGCTGAAGACTTTTATTGAGGATTTCTATGCAAATTTTTAAAAGTTGTTGTAATTTCTATCTTATGGACTGTTTCTCTTATTTATCTCTCTTGAATTTAAATAAGCATTCGATATTAACTAGTCCTGAAGCCATTTAGGCTCATGTTCCGCCCCCATTGTAAAGTGGTAGAAAGATTTTTTCTTTGAAATTATGTTAAAGAGAAGTTAGATATTCAACTGACTGCGTTGAAAATGCACTTCAGATTAGTACTTAAACTGGCAGTTTTTATTTGATTCAGTCTTACCATAAGTTCAGATATGTTGAGTTCTGATAATGCAATACCTTGCCATGCCAAGTTTGTTTAACAACGGGCAGAATGTATGAAGGATTAAGTGCCGACTAGTCAAGGTGGGTTTCATATAAATAGCTTATTTTGTAGTGTTATCCGCTTTTTAACTCAGAAGCATATCTGAAAATGTCCGCTTTTCTGGTATTTTCTCCTACAACAGTTGATACGATGTTATTCTGTGCATTACTGGGTCTATCTAAGGATCAAGCCATGTTGAAATCTTTAACACATATGTCTTTATCATCCACAAATCTCTTGCAATGAATGTCCATACAGATGATTCCAGTTTTAAATTTTTCAACCCATGACAATGTAAACATTACCTTGGAGCAGTTATAAGAAAGTAGATATTGGTACGCCTTCAACCTGTCGAATACGTTCACCCTCAAAAGTGAAATTGTTAAGAAAAATGTTTATTGTCTCATATGTGATTTTCGATCTCAATAAAGACACATATGCTTTCATTGCAAAACACTTTTTCTATGCATCAGCCATCTACATGTTTTTTGAAAATTTAAATATACTTTTCAATCTTTTTTTCCTTACTTAATCATTTGGTTTAAATAATCTATTCTTAACTCGAGTTTACTCATATTTTTATATTCTTCTCATAAACTTGTGTATTCATTTATGGTAATCGCCCAACTGAGTAATTGTTACATCCACTGTACATTAGATTACTCTCTTAAAATTTACAGCTACCAACAGTACACAAATCCAACTTCTTTCCAGCAGTTCAGTCCCAACAACGGGGAAAAATTAAAGTCGAAACCATTATGATAAATAGAGGTCTAAATAGTTTCATATTAAATTATCGTCCAATGACGTTTCAGATTTTGATCTGACCATATCTATCTTTGAGAAGTTAAATTGCAATACTTTCTGCAAAGAAATTACCATCAGATTATTTGGTGATACACTGAGACCATCTAATTTTAGTCTGACATTTTTCCAGTCGTTATTTCAGAACTTATGTCGTTATTACTTGATTTGTGAATTATATTTAAGAAAATTCCTTTTACCTGCTTGCACCAAATGTTCAGCCCTTTCTCCTTGTTCATATCCTTTGAATGCGAATAAAACATAATCCATAGGTATAGAACTAATCATATCTAAAATAAACCATGTCTTCAAATATTCACGGGCAATTTCGGTTGGATCAAGTATAATATCATCCACAAAATCATTTCTGATAATACCTAAATGGAAATAAAATATATAAAACTAAATTCATAAGTTATAAATAATTACGAGTAGAATAAATTTGAAAAAAATGACATCTAATTTATTCAATGACATCTGCTTTTATCACATTAATATGGTAGGGAATTCGTGTCATATATCCAATTGACATTGGAAAATTTGAGGAATGTGTACAAATAAAGTTCGTCGACATTTGTTAGCCGTCAGTTATCCTGATTCGTAAACGTTTTGACTTGCTTCGATTCTCTGGAATCTTCTGTTGAGAATCAAACTTTAATCAATGAATTCTCCAGAAAGTGCGGCTCATCTTTTCACAAAAAAGTGGAAAAGAAAAATATGTCTACCACCTCAATGTTTCTGCATGATTTTCCTAAAAACTACATGGGATGGGCTGTTAGCTGTGTAAAGGAGCATCCAAGAACATACCTTTACATTTGTGTACATTATGTTAACATGTAATTTTTATTGAAGTAAAACTTATTGATGAAAACAAACTAATTTTATTTTTTAATTGCTCTGAACTTTTAAACAGCCTATGGCCCATATGGAGATGAAACATGAAATGTGGTTTAACACTACAATTAATGAATTTTTTCACATATTACATATATTTCCAGCTGGATTAGCTGTGAAGAATCTAGAACATAATATGAGAATTCCTATTTAATACATTTTGATCGTTTTCCATCAAGTCGTTTAGTAGGCTTATTAAAAATGTGTTGTGTTTTATTCATCCTTTGAAATTTAGGTCTACCGACAATAGGGTAACATCTACTGATTAGGGCAATCTTCCTAATGTATACGCAATGCAAATATATTCTTTTAATGAAGCTTTTAATGTAAGAAATATATTTGCATCAAACTACCCATATCGAGATCGATGTATAGTGATGAATAATTTAGCCAGATATGTTAATTTTACTTTGGAAACTAAGCTAACAATATACTTTTTAAAGCAAAGCGGTTTTTTGAGTGTAAAATAGAATGAAATATACGTTCTGGATTTCATTGTTTGCCATATTCCATCTATTTTACAAAAACAATTTTAGAAATACGTTCCTAAGTCCGCAGATTAACTTGAGAAGCTTTAGAAACGAAAGGAGATAGCTCTATATTCAGATGAAACAAGGTGTACATTTAATTTTAACTCGATACATTTTTTCGAAAATGTTCTATGTTTTATAAAGACGTAAGTGAGTGAACTCAAAGAATTAGTATAGATAAATTGAAGGCAATCAGGTGCACTATAACATCGATTGATTATTAGATAGGATAAAGCTTTGTGCCATTGTAACGTACGCTTGATTGTTTTATTAATTATTGGGGTTGAATCGTTCTGACATGTTTTAAATAACAGTGCCACTCTTATCCATATTCATATTAATTAATTTTTTAGTAAACGGAACACACCCATTAAGATATTAAATAAGAAAGATTGGTTCAGCGTAGAGTTCTCTTTCCGGAGAATTCATTTTCAAATATGTACAATCGCAAATATATATGATTATTTTTCAGGATGATAATAATTACAATAATATTGATAATAAACTTCTGTTAGACATGGTGACAGTGAAGTAAAATAAACAAAGGTATTAAAAAAATTTTTAATAAGGAAAACTTAATAATCGTTTGATCGTTAATAGCTTAAAAAGTTCATCAAAATATAAGTAGGGAAATAATCATTGGGAAAGGATGGCTCAGTACGATAAGATAAAATGTTGAAATCGAGGTTAAATGTAATCAGGAGGATCATAGAAACAGAAATAAACCAGTTGGGGGTAGAAGATTTAGGGGGGAGATGGAAGGGGAAGCAGATGACTATAAAGGAAGAAGAGTATGAGGAGGAAGAAAAAAAAAGGCATTAAGACCACGGTAGAAGAAGAGGTTGTGTCAATCTCTTTTAAACACACAATGCTTGGTTTTCCAAATATATGGCTATTGCTTCGACAATGCTGAGAAGATGCAATATGTTTGTCTTTGGAAGACATCTACATACCTTATAGATGACTTTAAATGCAGAGTCTGTCTTGATAGAGTGACCAGTGTTCACAAGGTGTTCCATTATTGAACTTCTTATTAAGCCGTTTCCCCCTGTTCTTAGCCACGCTGGATAATGTTCTTGGATTCTTTGTTTATTCTACTTCACTGTCACCATGTCTGACATAAATTTATTATCAATATTATTGTAATTACTATCATCCTGAAAAATAATTATATATATTTGCGATTGTGCAGATTTGAAAATGAATTCTCCGAGAAGAGAACTCTACGCTGAACCAATGTTTCTTTGTTAATTAATTAATCAATCAGTTGTTTAATTTTTGTTTAGTAATATCCAGAATGCTTAACATTAACGATATCATAAGACCAAATATGATCACAGAAAATAGTTAACGATAATGAATAAATGCTTAACTTCATACTTTTGCAAGTCAAACACATTTAACATAAAATGTTTCACATTTATTCTTTAATACGTGTTTAATATTTGAATATGATTGTTTGGTACAAATTTGTTCCTGATTTTATTTATCTTCGATAACTTAACTTTTAATTACTTTCTTAATAAAGCTCATATTAAACTGCGAGGGCTCAACATTTGTGGGACTAGTTAATTCTAACTTGAGGAAACTGTATGTAAACTGAGTTAATGATATAAACTGTGTACAATTTTGTTTCTAATTTATCACTTTCCGAAACAAATTTGTTAAAACATGTTGAACTTACTAGTAGTTTAATATTCAAACAGTCTTTATAGTTGATTAACTATCATAACAATTCATTAGGAACGCAGGCGATCCCAGATTTCAAATGTTTGTGACTGTTATGTTAAATCAATCAAAACACTATTATTATAATATATAAAAGCTAAGTCACATTTGAATGTTATAAATTGCACCACTGTTTAGGATGAAATTCATTTATGGTAACAAAAATCAAATGAGCGAAAAACTTTCAATTTTTGATTAACGAAAAGAGTAATAATGTTTTTAAATTATTGTTGGCGCTAAGTTTTCCACATATGATATTCCAGCCTATGTAAATAGTTTTGGATTTAGTTAAATGTTATCGATATATATTCCAGTCATATGCATATATGCTTGGAAAATATTGTTCGGTAGCAAATAAACCCATAGATATCAGATTCTTAGTTTTGCAAGAATAGTGCAAACTTTGGGAAATGGACAACAGTGAGTAGATGATGATAGAAATGTAATAACTATTTGACAAACTATGTTTGTCGGAATGCGACTATTAACTTTCTTAACTTTCATTTTATTTCTATATTTGGTAACAGTTTTTCTTAAATGACTGGATGTGTGTATAGGACTTTATTGTAAAACATTCTTATTGACTTTACGTGGTGTAGTACAGATTCAGAGTGCACATAGTTGCCTATCTGGGTATAACAGAGTAGTTTATTGTGGAATTGATCGATAAATGGAATTCGGAGTTATTACATATGACATAGAAAATAAGCGCTGACTGATATTAATTCAAGATTCAACTGAAAGGTATTTCCTGTAGGATTTAAATGTCATTGATTATATTCGAAAGAAAAGTGCAATGTCGGTTACTTCAGAGTTCAGACAACATATTTGACAAAAGACCTCGAATAAGTCAACAACCTACTAGTTTGTGTCGTGTAGTGATGAAAATATTTCGCGAAAATCAGCTATTATATTTTGAGTGTAACTTCGCCTGTAACCCTGAGAAGTACTACTGCCAGTCTCAAAACCTAAATAGGACAGGGGGGTTTGGTACGGTGTCAGCAATTCCATCCCGTAGAAAAGAATGTTGATAAAAACGATAATCAGAAAAAACGATTCAAACCATTTAAACTCTACTCTGGTAGTTAAAGGATATTAATTAAGGAAAATTATGATGCCCCATGATGAAAGCCGAGATTTTTCAGAATCACAAGGTTGATGTCCCTTCTGACAACCAGATCAACAATAAATATAACCATATGGAATGTACGGTTAATCTAAGCGGCCGAGAGGACTAGTCAACTAGCTGAGGAATTGAGGAGATACAACTTGACGGTGCCCAGAATAAGTGAAACACATTAAACCCAAGCTGGTCAGAGAAAAATGGATTCGAGAGGGATGTTGCATCACTCTGTTCACGAAGAAGAAAATACTCCGCACGCTCAGGGAATTACCCTGACGCTTTCCAGAGAAGCACGTAAAGCATTAAAGGATGAGAATCATCAAAGCATTCTTCAAAACGAACAAGGAGGGAATCATAATGAATGTTATCCAGTGTTTTGTACCCACTAATTATAGCAATGAAGACGATAAAGAATAATTTTATTAGATGTTGCAATCGGTTGTAGAGAAGTACTCAGGAAAGGACCTAAGCATCTTGATGGGAGAATTAAACGCCACAGTCGGAATGGGCAACACCGGGTATGAAGATATAATCGGATGACATGAACTGGGAGAAAGGAACAAAAATGGTGAGGGCTTTGCAAATTTATGTGCCTTCAACAAAGTGGTTAAAGACTGCGAAATATTCTCCCGATAAGCGCACATATAAAGCTACATGCGAGCCACCGGAATACACTGCTGATGACCAGAGCGATCATATTTGTATTACTAAAAAATTCAGGTCAGTGGAAGACATGAGAACAAAGAGAGAAGGTGACGTAGCTTCAGATTATCATTCGGTGATTCTCCATGTTTAAACGTACTGAAATCCTATTATTAGCTTTTGCTTCGTCTCGCTTCGTCCTCATACAATTTGACTATAAATTTGCTTATGTAATTGCTCACATATTCTTATTTGCCTCCGTGCTCGAAATTCGTTTGATTTGCTTATGACTTTGTGGTCTGCTCTGTCCACTAGTAAACTGTAGTTGTCGCTTCTTTTTGCCTTCTTATTTCAAACACAGTTGAGATTTATATTTCAACGGTTATGAAAGTGAACATTTAGTGAAGCAAAGACACTATAGATATACCAATGAACAGTGTTAACTCATATATCTGTCACA